CCCCAAGAGGCCCCAAGAGGCCCCAAGAGGCCCCAAGAGGCCCCAAGAGGCCCCAAGAAGCCCCCAAGCCGCCTAAGCCCTGACTTACCGAAAAAGAAGACCTCGAAAAGAAGGGTCCAACGCCAAAGGCACTGTCTTGACTCTGCCCTCGTACTCCACCGTGAGCTCGCTTCGTCCCAGGTCCAGTCGCGTCACTTCTCCCAGCATCCACCGCTGCGCCTCGCTGCCGGTCGAAGCACGGTGCGATCGACGGTGTGAGACCAGGATCGACTCAACACAGACGAAGACAAGAAAGACAGAGCGAGAGAGAAGAAGGAAGAAGGAAGATAGAAGATAGGCGATAAAAGATAGAAGAAAGACAATAGCAAATAAAAAATATAGGGAAAAAGAAACAAAGAACACCCGGCATGACCGACAGCTCTGCCAGCTCCGCCTTCGCTGAGAAGACCTCTGCGAAGGAGCCCAAGATGAAGCCATCCAATGTGGGACTTTCAGCCGCCCCGAGGGGCAAAAAGTACTCCTGGGTCTGCTGAAAGCACTGGCTCCACGGATTTTTCTTCGGCTGAAAAGAACGGAGGGGAAACAAACAAAGAAATGGCGGGAGAAAGAGCTGGCTAGAAAAGAAGGGGTCGATCTTGCGGAGAAAGATGGTGCTTTTAGTGTGAGACGGGGGGAGAAAAGAGGTTCATGTTGACTTTGGGCTTCTTCATTCCCCTCCAACAGAATCGTCGTCTACATTCCGCAACACCCTTGACAACAGAGCCAACATCATTCCGGGCATCTGCCAGATTGGCCGCCTTCAAGTTCACGACTTTGCGCAGCATGTCTCAGGCCATGCAGGTGGTTTGGACTGCTTGAGTCTTGAGGATGGTAAAGCCAAAGCATTCAAGACATGGAGCAAACCTTCTGCAATCCAAGTGGCCATGTTGTGCAATCACTTCGGACTGCGCTCGCTCCACATGGACAACCGAAGCTAGAACCCAAATTCCACTCCTTGGTAGGCACTCTGCCTGATTCAATCAAACCTGAAGAAAGAAACCGGAATTCTCACAGCCCCCTCTCACCCAAGCAAAAATACACATTACACCGGCATAGACCCAGATACCAACTACCTCTAAAAGCACAGCGGGGAAACACTTCAGTGGGTTTCAAAACTGCAGCTTGAGAGACCTTTGCACGAGTTTTTGCACACAGAACTAAATGGGCGTCAGGCTGTTCTAGGACCCTCGTTGGGGAGACAAGTACGGAGACAAGGCAGCAACGGCAGACAAAACGCTGATGAGACCAAGTGGGGAGACAAGGCAGCAGCGCTGGCGCGGTGGACCAAAAGGCCACCCAGTCATTGAGAAGTTAGAACCCCTATAGCTTTCAGCTCTCTGGGCAAAAAGTCAGTATGGACAGGGTACAACCTTAACAGTGCCAGAAACATGAGACTGTGCTGACCCCAAGTTCTTCACCAGGTTCTGCGACTCCTGACCTCAAAGGACCGACACGGGTGACACGGGTGTCCTGTACGCCAACACCAATGCCAACCAGACGCGATTTGGAAAGTAGTTGAACCCTGTCACCAACGTTGAAACTGCCACTGACCTGGAGCTTGTTGTCCACTAGCCTCAGGGCGGGCGCTGAAGCTGACCAATCCCATTGGTGACCACCGCAACCCTCCTGCAGTTGGCGGTCCCGCCCCACTCCCCGACCCTGCGGGGGGGATCACTGAGGCCGTGGCGTTTCAGAAGCATCACTAAATGGCTCTGGCACCATGGAGTCAATGGACTCCTGCTTGGTACTGGCGAGGCTAGACTCGACCATCGACTTGGAGGCCACAGCAGCATACTTGGCCGCCAAGTCCTTGGCACACGACGTCCTTTAACCAGTGAAAAACATGGTTTGAGCTACTCTGCTTGAGTAGCAGGGCAGAGTGGAAGGCCGAGCCTCCGTCTGTTTCGTGCCACCAGAAAGATGCCTCCAATGTCTATTGTTCAGTGCAGCTCTAGACATCTGTCTCTATGAACCAAACTCTTCGGCCATAGCATCCGAGTTCTCTGTGACGATAGACTTCTGCACAGGAGAGTCCAGCAAAGATCCAGGATCACTTCCGGGTAGGAAAACTTGCAGCTGTACCTGGAGGTGGTGGAAATTTGCAGAATAGAAAAGGGAACATGTTCCCAATCGAACGTATACATATAATGTGTGGTGTAATTATGCACAAATGTGTATTAAATATGTACACAAGTATATAGATTCAAAATAGTTACAAAGCGTCTGTCCATCTAATGCAATCTCCTTGGAAAAATAATGACACTAGTCACCAAAAAGAATGCCGCCTCTCCGCGCTCCTCAAAGTCTCGCATGATTCGCCTTGTGTAGACTCTGGTGATGAATAAACCCTGTCTCCAGAATGGTTTACATCTGGAGGCCTAGGGAGGTTATTCATCAACAGTCTACATTAGCTGGGTTTGGGGCAGAAGAAGAACACTTTCTGGCTGTTTCAAGACGGAGATGAGATACCGTAGCCTTTACAAACAGGATCAAACAGGTGTTGCAAAAGCTGATTCCAAATCCACCGAAAAAAGGACTGGATTCCAAAACCGCTTCTGCAGCTGCAGCTCACTCCTCAGCTCAGTGGCCAGCTATTCATGGATTCCGCACTGGGATCTGCGATGGGAACTGTGGCTTCGCCAACAGTCAGGTCCGCTCCGTCGGCCACCGCCAGAAGCTCTATCTTGATAAACTGCTCCTGAGTCCACCGCCAGGCGAAACAGGCGGAGCGGAAGAACAAACCAACCACCTGGCGGGAGAATTTGGTGGACCCGAAAGGATCAATTTGGACCCGAAAGAATGCAAAGGAAGGAGCCGTATTCCCAGAATTTGGCGTTTTCTTGGAGGGTCCTCCTCTGATCTTTGAGAGAAAAACAAAATCTTTGGGGGGCAAAAGAAGATCCGAAGCACCGGTGACCGGTACCTACTGCGGTTGGGCGAGCAACGGCCGGTCAACGAGCTGGAACGGTGCAAGAGAGAACGATGACAGCGGTCAGACCGACTCCATCACATCGAAGACTTTCCGGTCCAAGTTGCCCGGGAGTTGTAAGGAAGATTAAATCGAGCCTGGCAGTGTGACCAAACGCGACACATCGTTCCCTATCCTTGGAAAGTGGCTGGTCATGTCTCGATGTGCATAACGTCATAGGGACGAGACGTGACGTTACCTCTCCTCTTCCCAGTGGTCGACCCGGACGCGCCCTGCCTCGATGGAACAGTCATGAAGCTTCTTTCCATATTCGCTGACGACTGCCTGACCGGAAACCAGCAGAGGTGGGTCAGAACCCTAGTTCGACTATCCTAGTTCGGTACCCCTGGTTTTCCGGGTCCTAGTTCAGGTCACTGTCCGCCTCTGACCGGACTCAGGCCCGGGAACGGGCTTGGGGCGGTTCCGCCCTCTCGCCTCATAAGTCTCGCTCTTCCTGCGCTCCCTCGGCTCAAAGCCTTCGCTTTGGTAGAAGGCGGTGGCACGATATGCTCCTGGAGACCACGAAGCGAAGACGAGCACGTCCTGTTCGAAGCGCAGGACGGCGTTTTGGGCGTTTCGGGCTCTTGAAGCTCTTGGCTCCCAAAATCTGGAACGGAAAAGAGTTGGACCTGGATCTTCCCGACCCTTTGAGATCTCAGAATGAGGTCACTTAAGTCTGTAAAAGGTCACTTACCAATCCTGAAAAGGTCACTGGGAAGGTCCTGGAAGGTCCAGGGTCTTCCTGATGCTTTCCCTTCGGGTCCAGACTGATCCGTCCGACTCACAGCGACCGCCTCCCCGTGACTGAGGCACGGGCGGACGGCTTCGTTGGGTGGCTCCAAAGCCATTGCTCCCTTCACCAAAATATGCATCTCTTCATCCTGGTAGAGCCAAGGAAAGGAGGTAATATACAAGCTCTCTCGCAAGACATATCAAGAATCATCAAGACATGAGAGACGTTGACACGTTTCTACAAGCTAAAAAAGCCGTGCTTCCAGCCAGAAGGTGCTTGGGAGGTCTCCCTGCTTTGATCATCTTTGATCCATACCCTACGTATTCAGCCAGTGGCCCTACATGTATCCCACCACGCGTTTACTGAAGCTATACCTCCCACGTCCGTCGTCCGAAGCCCAAACCTGAAGGCTTCGGAAGGCTTCGTCGTCCGTCGTCCGAGCTTCTCGTCGGTCGGAGGGCGAAGCCGGCGGAGGCCCGACCTGGCTTCCAATCTTCGTCGTCGCATCAGAGCTACCTCTGGAATGCTTCTGCATGGTAGGTTTGGGCCTCGTGAAGCGACTAAAAGGCGTCGACACAGCGCATATTCGCAGGTTTTCTTTCATTGACAAGAACCACATAGACATAGTCTGTTCAGCTTTGGGGCTGAAGTCTGTCTGAGATCTCCTGAATCTCAAGATGCTAAGGTCAGGGCTGCTTGTTCCACAGCCCTCTTTGCTCTGCTTCATCAATCATGGACTCATGCTGCTCTACTGTTGGATGCCACTTGATGGGTGGGGGTGGATAGAAGTCCACCCCACACGTGTCCTTAGATTGTTCGACATCAAACATCAGCCCTGTCCCAGTGGTGCTTTCGGGACCCGGAGGGATCCCCTCTCAACTCAGTCTCCTCCAAATCCACAGGAATCTGGCAGATTTGCAAGCGCAAGCATTCACAGTCCAAGAAACTTTTGCTTGCATTCCCTTTGGATGCGTCGCTTCCCTCTCTGCAGATGCCACACGCACACGCGCGCAAAACATCGCCGCGGAATGGATTGGGCTGCTCTGCAGTGTCAGTGTCAATGAACTGATGAGAGGCTATCACTGAGCAACAACCACATTCATATACATGCGAAAGAGAAACACTAGAAAAGATATGTGTGTTACTAGTTACTGCTTGGACCTGAGAAGAAGATCTTGCGACGTCTTGTGCATCCCGTCTCCCCCACAGTTGCACCATGTTGCACCTAACTAAGAGCCAAGACAAGCCTCTCAAACCGGGCTTCAACCCAAATCACTGGAAAACCTCGCGTTTCAACTCCCCCCTACAAGTCCAGTGGGGCCAAGTTAAACCTGGTCCTTGACCTCATTGAGTACGGGTTTTGCATGACCGGATCCAGTCAGGTCTGAGGTCCGTTTGTCTGTCTGGGCCCCACACCCAGCTCTCGAAAGAGCTCAGCCTTCCGGATCGGTTCGCACACGGCAGCATCCATGTCCATTTGCACCTCCTGGATTTGCTGTGGAAGCCGGGAGGAGGACACCGATTTTCCTCCAGGTTCCGGGGATTCATGCATCCCAGTTCGGGAAAACGAAAAAAATAGCCCACATCCGCCAAGCCAGGTCCTGTAGTGCACCAACGTCTTCCCACTTCACATCCGGAATCGTTGTGAATCCTTCACGCCGGGCAGAAGGCTGGACCTTCGACAAGGCTTCGGTGAAGTCCTGCGCCTCAATGGCCAAGGTCGACATCTCCTCCGCGGTGTAGGCCTTGTCGCTGCCCTCGCTGTCTCGGGCCAGTGCTGCTAGACCCTTGAACGCCCGTTCGACCGCTCCCAGTGCTGCTTCCTTGGTGAGCGCGGACAAATCGGCACCGACGAAGCCAGCGGTCTTCTTCGCTAAGAACTTCAGATCCAGGCTTTCAGCCAGTCGCATTCCTTGAACCATCTTTTCCAAGATCTTGGCTCGCGCCGCTTCGTCCGGGATGCCCATGGCAATTTCGCGGTCAAAGCGGCCGGCCCTTCGTAGGGCGGGATCCAGGGCATCTGGACGATTGGTGGCAGCCAGCACAATGACCTGCAGAGCAGTCAGGTTGAATCTGGATGAATAAACTCCCCCCCCCTTTTTTGGAATATAAAACCTCTCTCTTTTCGGTGGTATTGATCTAAGATTCTAGATAAAAGGGGTGGGCAGTCGAAGGTGAAAGCAAAGATTGGGTGTTCAAAGAACCATATATGACATGCAATGGATCCGGCCACGATGTGAAGCCGAAAACGTTCACTTTGTGAAAAACCATGAAAAAGACGCTGCGGCACAAAGGACGTTGCTCTTCTGGATTTCATCCAAAGATGTCAGCAGCTGCGCCACGATGCGCCGCTCCATTTCGCGGCCCGCCGAGTCGCGCTTGGGCGTAATCGCATCCACCTCGTCCATAAAGATGAGGCTCGGCGCTGCGCTGGTGGCTGCTTGGAACAGCTGCCGGATCTTGGCTTCCGATTCGCCCGACATGCCCGAGACGATTTCGGTGGCAGCAATCTTGAAGAAGGGCACACCGGTGGTGCCCGCGATGGCATGCGCGATCTTGGTCTTTCCGCAGCCCGGGGGGCCAAACAGCAAAACACCGGTGGGAGGCTGGACGCCCAAGTGTGAAAACACCTCGGGATGGCTCAAAGGCTGAACAACTAGTTGACGTAGATCCTGCAGGATATCATCCACTCCTCCCAAGTCTTCGAGCCTTTCCTCTGGACGGTCTTCCGGTTGAAAGCTGCTTTGTGCCTTGGGATCTGACCAACCTTGCTCGCGCCGAGCTGCGGCCATAGAGGCTTTCTCCCGCGCTTTGCGCACGGACTGTGGGTCCTGCCCCAATCGTTCAGCTTTGGCTCCTAGACTTGCATCATTCGCTGTACTCTGCGAATACAATCGTCGAATGGAATCGTTCATGTTTTCCTTTTCAGCTGGGGAAGCCAATTCGGGCTTCTTTTCACCCTTGCGCCGCTTCTTCTTCGGCTCAATCTCCGGCCCAGTGGATTCCGGCGCCTCGGGGAGGGGCGTGCTGAGCTCCTGCAGCACCATGCGCCGCAACGCTGGTTGCTTCAAGCGGCTGTACTCCGTGAAGGTTCGGCAAAGCTCATCTTTCACGCCTTACTAAGAGCCAAGGCTTGGAGAGGCCAAAGCTTTCACTTTCGGGGGAACCCAAAGGAACAAAAGAAGGCAAAAGAAAGATCCTTCTTACTCAAATTGCCTTCAAAGGCTCTGTCTGCTGTGCAAGTTTTTCCTGCACTTTGAAATTGAAGCCGAATCTCGCGGATTCTGTGTGGCAATCGCTTGTCCATGGCTATTCATTCCATTGCTCTTCACCCTACAACCATGGAATGTTCCTGCAGAAAGAAGATGTTTCGGTAGGGTTTTCCTTGTGCAACTGTTTTACATCACATCCGCTCACGATATGGGGTTGGTCTTTCTACGCTGAAGCCTATGGCTACAATCAAATACAGGAAACAGCTCAGTCTGCAAACCCAAATGCGGCACACGGAACCACACCCTGTGAAAGTTGCAGGCTCTTTTTCGCAGGGCAATCTGGTCTCAACGCCTCCTTTTGTGCGCCCTCTCCTCAGTCTCAGCTTCCTGGCAGTCTCTCAGCTTCCTGTATCTGCTAAAGCCCATCACAGAATCCGATTCTTCTAGATGGAATTACTGTCCATGGAAGAAGTATCACCTGCAGTTGGGAACCACCAGGCCCACAACCACGTCATGAATTTCTCATCTTTCGTGCCTTCGGTCTGATTCCATCCACAATAGCGCTCAAAGTTCTTTCACCCCACTTGGGGGCAGAATTTTAGGGCAGAATAGGGACGGGGTCTCCCCCTAGGCCGGGAGCCTTGGTCAGTACGGAAAACAGACATGAATCAGTACCTCCAGAAGTCCGCTGGAAAACCGCTTACACTGCGCCTCCTCGCTCTCGCTGACGGAAAACCACTCGCCCTTCCGAATGGCGCGCTTGGCCTGGCGAAGGGCAATCAGGGTTTCGTTTGGCCAATCGACCTAGGCCGGGAGCACTATCAAAAGAAAGGCGTCTTAAATAAGGGACCTGAAATAGGGATGAAGAGTAGAACTCCTGCAATTCGTTTTTGTAAGCAAAAACGGAATCCAACTAGACCTCTGGTCTGGGTTGTAGTTACTTCATTTTCTCGCACAGCTGCTCTAAAAATTGACAAAAAATCACGAGTTGTTAGATCGTTTGCCCTTCCAGTTCAAGCCTTATGTTATTGTATGAACATGATTTATTGGCTCTACCTCAGATTTCTTGCCCGAAAGCGCATGCCAGTCGCGGCAGCAACTACTAGACGACCGTCTTGGCCTTGGGCGACACAACATTTCTTGACATTTGAGATTTACACAAGACATGCTGTTGATTCTTAATTCCAAACACTTTCGTCTACAAAATCGGAAAGTCTTTAGGTATATATATATGTGTGTGTGTGTGTGTGTGTCAGCGTCAGTGTATACATGATCCACTACCACTACCACTACGACTACGACTACGACTACGACGACGACTACTACTACTACTACTACGACTACCAAAACAAATTTTCGGACAAACTGTTTCACATGTAACATCAACGTCATTATCCCCCCCACCCCCCAAATACCCTCTGACAAACTGTCTCACATGTAACATCAATTTCATCATCCCACCCCAAACTATCAAAATTACCATTACCTTCCGACAACACGTTTCTGCGCACAGTCCGCGACGCCCCGATGGGGCGGCTGCTACTGCCATTGCTCACTAAGTCTGCGACTTTCCCGAAGCTCACAATTGGCTTCGGAGCTCCTGGAAGGCATCTCCCCTCCCAGGCCAACTGGTGAAAGCCAGCAAATCCATTTACCACTGGCCACTAGTTGGTAACCAATGACTCCACAGACAATAATCATGACCGAGAAGCTTTGGTTGCAAAAATATCGTGACTTTGCCCACTGGGTTTCAGATGGTCAACAGATTGGGGTGGGTGTGCCATCCGTCCAGCTGGATTGTGATTCAGCAAAGCTTGGATCAGTCAGGACCAGAAAGTTGGGAACATACACTTAGGTGACCCGCAAAGGAATTTCCTTTACTTCAGTCGGTCAATATGTAGTTTTTGGACTTCTAGGGTCAGTAGTTTCGCAAATTGATTGCGACCTTGGAGCATGAAAAGGAAGTGGTGAGACCAACACTGGGACGGTGTCGATCGACCCATTCCAGCGTGGGCATCGACCCAGTGTTGCGGGCTCAAGAGCAAAGGTTGTGGAACAAAGGAGAATCGATGAACCTCGCCCATATACAGTTGCTGCAGTTGCCCACACCACATGACCTCGGAGCTGGTGTTGCCCCTCCTCCCCGTCTCTGCCGGTCCGCACCGGCAGAACCCCCCCCCGTATCGAACGTTCGGTCCGAGGTCCCGGCGCCGTTCGCAGAAGCCGGTCGGTCGGTGGGGTGGTGGGTGTCGGTCTCGCCCCCCGCCCCGCGGTCGCTTCGGTGAAACAGAAGAGGAATAAAGGATCGATCTGATGTGGTCGGTGTGGCGGACCGTGTCGGTGCGTGTCTGGTGTTCGAACTGGGCGATTCCTCGGCAGTTGCAAGTCCGGAGCATCATCTTCGGTAAAGATCACCGCCTGAGAGATTCAAGGGAGGTTGCTTGGTCGCACCTCTGTGTGTCGTTAGCTTGGCATCTGGCGCCCTTTCGAATGGCTTGTACAGCATAGTGACCTGAAAAATAGGCAAAATGTCAACCTGGACAAAAACTGGTTGATTGCTCTGAAGGGCCTTCGACATTGGTCATATCGCACGCACCAGGGCGAGTGCCATCCAGGTACCTGCTATCCACATGTTGGAAGTCCAGTTCGACTAAAAAATGGGCGCCGCCGAAGGTTTCAGGAAATTCTGAGGAAGCCGAATTTCAAACCATTTGTTTCACAGTCTGGTACTCCCAGAGTGCCGACTCAACGGCTTAGCCCGGAAGCACCGTCGGCACCGTGTTCACCGTCGGCACCGTCGGCACCGTCGCTCGGGGCACATGTCGCGAGCCACCTCAATCGCCAGCTGTTCTGGAGAGATCCCAGGAGGCTCAACGATCCCCGTGAAGCTTGGGACACCGAAATTTCTAGGTTGAGTCAACGGTCTAGATTAGGTGTTTGCTGTGGATTGATCCCCTACCTGGAAGAGGGAACCTCTTTATGGGCGTTTTATTCATCAAGATTCTACAATGAGACGATGTTTTTTTCCAAACATCTTTAGGCGCCCGGACACTCATCGAGAGCTGGCACTTCGAGGGGATGTGCGTTTGGTGCCACCAGAGCTTAGTGTTGATGCCTGAGACCAAGCGAAGCAGCGAGAAAGAAAAGACACTCCCTACCAGTACCCTCCAACAGGTCACCACCTGCGACTTTTAGGTCAGCAAAAGCCTCCAGAACAAGACCTGTTGGAGGGTGCTGGCAGATGAAAATTGAACATAGGCCCCGTAAGGTAAGGAAGGCCATGAAATCCAAAATACCCTAAGGCAGGTTGCTGTCACTCCACGAAACCATGCGACCCCACGGCTCGCACTGTCAGTCTGCTGTCCCAACTAGCTGTAGCTGAGCTACAGAGCACGTCACCTTCTTTGCAGCGGATTTTCACTGGGCCAGCTCCTTTCAAGGCACGAGCCTCCGCGAGGCTGGAGAGGAAGGGCCAAACGAGCCGAGCAAGACGTCTTCACATCTGCTCCAAGGCCCCAAAAAGCAATCAGCTGCGTCCGCTCGCCTGCCGCTGCAGCTCTGTGGTTGGACGCACAGTCCACACCTGGCAACAGTTCTTGCATGTTCTTCCCATCTGACTGGTAGGGATTCTCTGACAGTTCCACGGGGGAGGCTATAGTGAACTTGACTGGAAGGCTTTGATTCATCACTTGAAGGACCTGACCTGTGTGACCCAGAAATCATTCAGAAACCTTCAGAAGGAGATGAAAAACCATGACGCACCGCGCACCACCACCTGCGCCCACTTTTGAGCACATCAAAGCGAGCGAAAGGGGAGCTTGCACTGGGCCTCGGGGTGAGCTCAAGACTTGAACTCGGTATGTAAATGGGCTGTGGCCGTGGCCTCATCCAAGCCAAACGCCTTCTTCTCCCAACTTCGAACGGCGGATTGAATCTTGCTGGGCATGTGCAGCAAGTCTTGCTCATCATGCACAATTTGACCCATCCCCAGCTTGAGCCTTTGCAGTTTCTTCGGCACCTGAGATCTAACACGTTCGATGACCAAATCCCAAATGTTCAGCACCATGGTCTTTTCTTCCAGGGTAGCTTTGCCATCCCCATTCACATCAAGAATATCTCGAAGATCGAGGTCTGCTTGCGTCGTCTGCCAATCACTCATCTTGGCACGTCGCATCAAGCGCTCCATCTGCCGCCACGTCTCAAAGAGATCTGGTGTGAAGCGTAGACGGACCAGGAATTTGCGAAGGAAGGTGGTGGGCAAAGGTTTGTCAAACTGCCACGTGACCGAGGCAGCAGGAGCAGTTCCGTGTTTCAGAGTTTCATGGATGAAGCCAGGGCCAAAGAAGAGTGCATCACCCGGATGCAGTAGAACTTCCTCGAATATATTCCAGGAAGATTGTTCAGCTCGTTCATAGATCTGCCCATCCTGATAGATCTTCATCACATGGGGAGCATTCCTCTGACCAATGGGGGACAAGCGCCAACGCTTGGTTCCACACAGCTGCATACTCCAGGTGGACTCTGAATGTGAATCCACATGGGCTTTGGCACCATGAGTACCAGCTCCAGCTTGTAAAAACCAAAACTCCGGGGTGCTTTGCAGCATCCCCAAGTTCGCATCGCTCATGAAGCTTGGGGTGGCGGTATGCTCCTGACAGAGAGGGTAGTTTCTCTCCCGCTCAAATCAACAGGGGCCTGAGGTAGGGTGTGTAATGTTATCCATGCATTCACTGACAAATTAGAACTATGAGTTCAAATTTCCACTAAAGTCCAGAAATCAAAGTGAAGAGATTCTGTCGTCCTTTCTTTCCAAACCAGCCTTGGTTCAGCTGCATACTCTTCGAAACAACAGGCTCAAAGGTCCAAGTCATGCGAGTTCGATGTTGTGGTCGGACGAATACGAGTTCTTGGGACCACTAAGAACGCACAACTCTTCACGAATCGTCACCTGAATTCTAAAGAAGTCCTGTTCAAGAAGGTCGTGTACCCAACACAGTCCTACCTCGGAACCCCACCTGGTTCCATGAAAAAAGGGCGGCGCGCCCCTCGGAACGCACCCCTGGCAGCCTGGACCAACTCGAGAACCTGTCGCGACCAAGTTTGGCTGAAAAGTGGATCGTGAGCCACGTCTCCCGGATCATGAAGGACATCTTTGAGGCCAACATAGTATGGAGAGGCGCTGGGATTCTCTTGCTTAGGCTGGTCATCCAGGATGTCCCTCAAAGACTTCCACTCTTCTTGGCTTGCGTTTTTGTCTCCATATTCTCTTCTTCCTTTAACTCTGCGAAGAAGTTTGTTCTCCCTGAAAAACTCGCAGTCCCAGTCTTTCATCGGCAAAGACTTCACAAGGTTCCTCACAACAAAAGGGCGACCTTCTCTCACCAACTGATCAAAGATTCCTGCACTCAAGTTCGGTGTGAAGTTGAGAACTGGAAATGAAGAACCCATATTCTTCAGGTTCAAGCAGTTCAATTCTTCTCCTGAACGCGCAACGCCTGTTTCAATCTCTTCCAGAAATGCATGAGCACCTTCAAGCCAGTAGTCGGATGCTGACGGCTCCCATTCGATCGCAAGACCAAGGTCTACGAGAAGCAGGGCTGCGAGTGACTTCAACCTTGATCGGCTCCCCACCGCTTTGTTCGGCAATAAGTCCATATCGGCAGAACAGACTGGACTGCATGATCCTCCTCACATCGAAGAAGCTCAAGAAGTCTACACTAGCTTGACTGCCGTGGCTGCACTTTGTTTGCCCTGAAGTTTGAGTCCTTCTGGGGTAGTACTCACGTGAGGTCATATGATATAGATGGATATACTGATATACACGGTATCTGTAACATGCAGATGGCACGCAACAGATTATGGCTACACTCTCCCAACCCGGTGAAAGGAGGACTAGATGTGCCATGTCAGAAGCACATGGCGACCTCACCTCAATCAAATTCAGCGACGTCACCTCAGTCGAAGGTCAGAATCATTCGCCTTCTGACCCTTGAGCTGCACGTGCCAGGTGCCGCTGTGCTGAATCGCATCCTGCGACGTCCAACCGCCGCTCGGTGTCCGCGGCGCGTCGGTGTGGGCACCGAGGGACGGACCGTGTGTTCGGGGCGACCACGTAAGACACGGCCTCTGGCATTCCTGGACCAGAGAGGAGAAAAAGATCGACTGGACCCCCAGAAAACAGAATTATATAAGGATCATTCGTTATCTATGACAGCTCCTGAAAGCTCTAATGTAGACAAACCCTGCATTTGGAATGTAACACCTCTTCATATGAATCATTAAGATTCTTCCAAAGACTTACGTAAGACACAGTCAGTGTACACCGTTCTTGACTTGACTCAGTGTACACACCTGCCAAAGAAGACCCAGGCAGCTGCTGAGTGCGTTGGAGGGCGGCATCTAGAGGCCTCAGACATGGGGTCTGGGCACCGGGCCCTGGTGGACCACGGTGCCAAATGGATCCATTTCAACGTAGGGTTTAGAGCTCCCGGCGCCATGACTCACAGCCATGATCTGCTGTGGGTCATGGCAGACTGGAGCGTGCAAGGCAGCAAGGACGAACTCGTTCTTTCTGCGTTCGGACTGGTTGGGCGAACATGGTGGGTCACGACCCATATGAGTCACCTGGTGACCACTTCGCAGCACCGCGGTAAGCGGCGGCACGTACTTGCCACGCGAGAAAAACCCACGCGCGATGGTGGTCTTGATTTTAAATTATAGATTTGGGTGTTCATCCACTATTTCCAGGTGATCGAACGGTTTGTTTTCCAATGCACTTCTTGCCCAACTCTCGTGGTGTGCGGCTCCTCGGACCTTTCAGCGGACAGCTGGTCGAAGGCTCGGCTTCTTCGAGCGGGCTCGACCATCCGAGGCTTGGACGAGGCTCTTTGGAGACCTCCAGGTCGGTGCCGGGAAAACCGAAAAGGACGAGGACGAAAACCCCGGTACTGGTGGACGGATCGACTCACTACCAGGTGGAGTAAAATGAGTCACATTAGAATAGAAAAATATATTCAGATACAGTACATATATATATATATATAATATGTATATATATATATATAATGTTGATCAATCAAGAGTCTGCAGCAGTCTGCATTACTCCTTTCAATCACAGGGGCACGGTCACTCGCTCAACGAGGAAGAAACTGCGACAATTGTGCGTCATCCTACTGAGCGGACCCGCTTTGAAGAACCAACCCTTGCGCTCCCAAATGGGCTCCTTTTTCTGCTTCCAGGGCGTTTGCTGGGTTCGACTGCTTGAACCATTGACATATTACAACCTGTCGGCGTGCATTGGGCATTGGACCATCTGCCTTTTCCGGCAGAGATGGCTATCAACTTGGACACAAAATCGCTGTCAACAATCAAAAACGATACACTAAGACTATTGCTACCATTATAGCCAAACGTTTGTGTTGTCCAGCCGATCTTCGTCGGCTGGTTTGCAGCGCCGTTCCGCGAATTTACAGAAGCCTCATCAGCCACACCTGGGCCGCACGGCCGAAGCCGGCGGCGCGGTTCGTGGGCCGTTCCGTCGTCGGGTTCGCTCGAAAACGCCAAGCGGCTGGAGCCAGACCGAAGGCACAAGGGATCCATGCCGCCCCCACAGCCGTTTGCCCGACGGTCGTGCTCCTCAGTTGGAGTTCCCTCTTATTTAGCACGAAAGTCTTGAAACTGGTTTTGTGAGTTGGACCACGAAAAAATAGATGATGGATCCCGCGGTTTTGTGGGAGAAAAATCCTTTTCTAAATGGTGGTTGGAAGCCTAGGGTCTATGCTCGATTTAGGTAGACTATTGTTGTACGCATATCCCGAATTGTAGAGAGAGAGAGAGAGGGAGAGGGAGAGGGAGAGAGAGAGAGAGAGAGAGAGCGAGAGAGAGAGAGAGGGAGCGAGAGAGAGAGAGAGAGGGAGAGAGAGAGAGAGCGAGAGAGAAGAGAGAGCAGAAGAGAGAGAGAGAGAGTGAGAGTTTGTGTGTGTGTGTGTTTTTCCCGCAAGAAAAGGGAAGCTGATTTCTTTCGAACAGCGCCCACATGGGCGGAAATCAACATAAAACAGCATCTCAGCCGCCCACGTGTTGGTCTCGTTCATATCATCAACGCTGGTGATACCAACGCCAGTGCAATTGTCTGTCTTGATGCAAGTGTTCGAGCTCCAAGCCTCCGGATCGTGAGAGTGAGCAGCTTGGTGAGCTGTCTGGTGTCCACCCGGAAAAAGAAAAAGGGACAAGCTTCCTGGACTCTGGGATCTTTCAGAAATCAGGATCAAATCAGGTACCCGGGTCACAACGTGTCTGTTCCTGTGTTTGATGCAGACCGAAACCCGAACAAAACATCTCTCGCAACACCATTGGGACACCATAGATGTCCCACCTCCAGTTCCTCAGCCCGTTTCATTTGTTCATGCATGTTCCGGCATTCAACTGGTTTCCCAAAGCATTCAACTGCCGGTCCCTGCCGGTCCCGGCGGGTTGTTCGTGCGATGTTACTTGGCGTTCGGAGGACCGGTGTCGCGGAACTCGTCGACGAAGAAAGGCGATCGGATGGGGCAACCAGTCAGCACCGTGGCAGGTCAACTGCAAACGCCACAATACCCATTGGGCCAGGGGGACCTATTCAAGAACTATAAGTACACCCATTCCCTGTCTGTCCGCCGCGCCCATCTCCGTTCACGCGGGATCAAACCATGTGGGAAAACGAGTGACTTCCGCCCAGAGGCCGAATCGAAAAGCCGTTGGCAGACCTTAAGGTCTCCCAACTGGCCAGGAACGCTTTTTCCGATTCCAAGCGGCACAATCACATCCTCCATCATTCATCGAGTCACCTGGGCTCGGTTCAAACCCGAGAGATGGATCTGCAACTCGAGGACTGGTCGAGCCGCTCCCCCCCGTTCGAAGTCCAACCGACCGATTTTTGGGGACCACCGAAGTAAAGAAATTCCTAGACTCGGATCACCTAGGGCTTAAAGACCATGTTTAAAAGATGGTCAGACTGGACTTCCAGGGCCCCGGTCTTCAAAGGAAGGTGAATCGAAAGGTCCCGTGGCGCCGCGAAGGGCACGATGCGTGATCGTGCCCAGCTCTTCGGCCAGATCGGCCCATCCTGGAATCCCGAACCACCGAAGGTTTTACCATGGTTTTACTAACTTTCACACGACCGAAACCAGGTCCACCGAAACTCTTTGTTCATGGTCGAACGGCGCCGAAAGGAAGAAAAAAAAGGGCCGTGTCTGGTGAAAAAGGGGCACGCTTTTTGCTGCGACCGGTCCACAAGTGGCAGCATCATAGTTTCCACAGATCGCTGCCTGAGTGCTGCTGAGGATGGCCATGCCAGCACAGATGCTTGTAAGCCTGTCGTCCAGATGACCGAACAAGGAGCCGAGCATGTCATCGCGAGCAATTTTAGAAGATCCCGGATCCGGCATGTAAGCTAGTCGCCGTGGTTGCCTTCTCTCGGCCAAAAAGGCGTAGTTTCCTGGGAGTGTCCAAGAAAAAATAGGGACCTCTCAAACTCTCAAATCCGATTCTTTCTGCCTTTTTCTGAGGGAGGATCCAGGATCACAGACACACCCGCTGCTCTCACTCCCTCGCCCCTCACCTCCACATCGTTGGAAAGACGCGTCGATCTCCGGCTTGGTCCAGGGGCAAAGGCTGAACCAAAAACAGGGCCGGCGGCGAAGTCGGCTGTAGCACCTTTTCGTTCTGGAAAGAAACTGACCATGCACCATGCACCATTCTCCGCGAAAAAGGGTCTGACAGTCAAGTGATACACAAACGACCCAGCAAGACTGCACAAAAGATGACCCCAAAAACGAACACTGACTCTTCTTCTTCTCGCCTCTGCAAGAAGTGAGGAACCTCGAAAAAAACGATGGTGTTCGCCGAGAACACATCAAACGAAGCTGGGAGCCAGGAAAGTCAGCAGAAGAAGAAGAAGAAGAAGATAGAAGGAAGAAGATAGAAGATAGAAGGATCCAAGAAAAATAGGCCTTGACTTGGATTTGGATGCTTCATGAGGTTTTTGGATGAAACCGAAGCAGGAACCGTACCAAGCAGGAACCGTACCGCAGGACGGTGCGCTGAATGCCCCGCTGGACCGGACCCCACGGGACCCGGAACTCACGTCCGGTGACGTGGAGGAATCCACGGTCCCATGGTGAGGAAGAGGAGGAACGGTGTTTTTTTTTTCCGAAGACCAAACAGGAACGGTTCCATGTAACCACTTCCGAAGTATATAGATGTGTTGGAGTGTGTGTTGGACAAGTTGGGGAAGGACACAGAGCCACAGCCGGCTGGGTTTCGATGTGAACATCATGTCAGGGTCAATAACGGAAATGCTGCCGAGAGACTCCTTTGGGTAAGGCTTGGGAGAGAAACTCGCTTAGCGCACGTCGACTGCCTGAGCTGATCCAATGATGGACTTATCTTCGACATGTTGGAGTCGAGTCCAATCGGAGGGGACGTGTCACAAGACTTGTGGATGATGATGTCGATGGAATGATGGAGAAACCCTCATGTTCATCAGTCACTAACCGGGAAGAACAGTGCACTCTGGCGATGCATGGCTTGTTAATGTTGGAATGTCTTCGCCACAAAGGCTCGGAATGTCTTCTCACGGTCCCTTCACTTCAAAAAACTCGAGAAGCACAGGGGGAGGGCTGACACCGAACCGGCGCGGCCTGCCGATTAACTTCACGAGAAAAGAGCCACAAATCTGGGGGATGGAATCTGACACCAGAGCCCCGTGTGCCAGGGAACTTTGTTGGGCCAAGGTGCGCTGCAAAACGCAGGAAGCATACCATGAACCTGCGGAAGACTGGAAGATGCCCCACGGTGGCATACGTGCTTGAAAGCTCTTAGCAAGTAAAAATACTTTGCCGTTTACCTTGCCAATGCAAGTTGCGGGGACTTCATGACCAGGAGATGGCATTGTCCAAGTTTGGTGCATCGTCTCCGACACAGGGGTCCGGTCAAATGCAAACTCCAAAACTCCGACGGTCAAACCACTCCACATCTACCTCACCTCACCATCTAGGGCAGCTGGGGAGGGTAATTCACCGAGTTTGGTGACCCCCAGTGGTCGAACGTTGGCATCGCGGTTTCAGCTCAGTGAGATCGGGTGCGGTGGTGATCGGTGGCACCTCCGGGTGCCCTGGGAGCGCCCAGGAGCTGCTCGAGGGGATCCTCGTGCGGCGGCAAGGTGCCACGGCTCTCCAGACCTCCGGGCCGATCGTGGACGATGGCGGAGCTGCATGGCGATAGCCGGGTGGGTGACGGGGCGATAGCCGGGTGGGTGGGTGTGTACTTCGGAGGTGCTCAAGGAGCTCTTGGCTTTATATGAAGGATTTTTGAATGAATGCTTTTGGGACTCGCCTGTCGGATGATTCTAAGGTCCACAGGCTGTTGCAGGATGAGTCAGGTTGGCCAGTTTTAAGGGACAACCGTGCTACAACGGTTCATCCATACCTTCCACCACACCATCACGCTCCAGGTGCCGGACTGAAAGCTCGACCTCGGTCGCGAAGGCCGCGTGACGCGACTGATGTTCCACCGCAGCTCGACCGCTTGATCGATACACAGCGCCTTCAGGCGATCCAGAGAACTGGTCGAAAAAGCACCCTAGGAGTCGGGGGGGAAAAAACATAATCCTTTTGGAACAGCTTCACTCTTTGTATGTGTAAGATTGTGTGTATATAGAAATACACTCCAGTGATCCCCAGTGACAGTAGTTATTGACTGAAATTCGGCTATTTCTCTGCCGCATCTGCAGCTCCAACCTCACTGAGGAAAACCGCTCCAAGCTCAGCTTCTCGCGGAGAACTGCTGGATGTGCCTCAGGAATCTGCAGATTCAGCTGACCATCAAGTTGCAGTGACTGCACATGACTCGATGGCTCGAAGGCAAACATCATCCATTTTTCTCTGCCCCTTCCTCCTCGCCGAGGATAGCTTGTCGACAAAACTGAGGTCAAACTCACTGGCATCCGCAGCATGCAGTTGAGAGAGCTTGCCAACCTGGGTGAAACCCATGAGAGCTCCCCCTGGACTCGACCCCATTCCGGCACCGATTCCGGCGAAGGGTCGGAGGAGTCGAAGCAGTCGGCGGCATTCGACCGCGCCGACCGCGCAGGGCGTGCATTCGATCGTAAGGGATCTGAGACTCGGTGAACAAGTCGCCAATCAATCAGTGGAAGTGGCAACTTGGCCCCGAAAGGAAGACGACTTGGGGTTTAGACGTTTGGCCAAGTAGACTGGTTGCGTCAGGCCCTGAAAAAAAGACAGGCCGTTGTCCACTCCCATGACTGTTCGGAGCGCTAGGAGATGGTAGGAGTAGCACTAGCAGTCCACGAAAAACCCTCCCCCAGAGGCTTGGTGGTCCGACGCCATGCGAGCACGGTCAGGCCAATTCCTCTGGCCAGGCCTGTGCTTCACCATGGTTCAAAAGGGAAGAAAAGCGGAAACTCAGCTAGATTGGGTATCTCCCAGTAAGAGTGGATGATGGTTAGACTGCTAGATACGTTCTACGTTCATCTTCGATCCATCTTTTCGGACCCGATTCGCCCGAAACTCCGAGCGCCAAGACACTGTTTGGTGCTGGAGCTCCATTGCCACAGATGGTCTGTCCCACACACATGCAGCTGGCCGGACCCGATCCGCTGCAAGGAGGCTGAGTGGCGGAAGGTTGGCTGGCGGCTGGGGTACGATGCTGGACCTACAAACTGGGGCCTTTTTCCCGAATGCGTAGCGAAGGGTTTTCGGTTAACTCTTGGGGGTCTGGGGGTGGAGCCTTGTTCGCGACCCGTTGTTTCCATGTTCGCAACCGTCCGCAACCGTCCGCAACCGTTCGCAACCGTCCGCGGTAGAGCGCTAAGGCGCTGCCATTGGGGGAAGCTTTTGCAAGTGACCAGGCATGGATGTGTCACGTGTCAGTTTGCGACGCTATTCCATTGTGATTTGCATGAAAATGACATGTCGCGCAAGAAACGTGATGCATTTCGCTGCACAGGCGCAGCGTTTTGTGAGATCCTCAGTTTGCTACGCAGTTCCATTGGGATTAGCGTTTGGAGAGTCGTGTTTTTGGGGTGTTGGATGTGGCCGTGCCATTGGGATTTGCGTTTCAGGGTGTGGCATCGAAGCTCTGTTTTCGTGACCAGTCTCAGCTGAAATGGCGATTTTGGTGGATGGGAGTGTGCTCAGAATGGGTCGAAATCATTCCAAACGTGTGGTGTGGTGCAAATTTTGTTGAAGCTGACATGAGATGATATTGCCACTTTTCGTGGCAGGCGCAGTACTTTTTGTGGGTTTTGAGGCGTGGAAGTGCGATTCTCGTGGCAGGCGCAGGGAATGGTGAGGTTGCGAGGTGTGACGGAGGTGACATTTCGCGGCAGGCGCAGTACTTTGTGCGCGTTAGACGTGTGGATGCGGAAAGATTCGTGGCAGGCGCAGGGAATCGTGAGGTTGTGAGTTGTGGTAGAGGTGAATGTCGCTGTCACATTGGGATTGGCGTGTGAGCGGATGTTGTTTGGAGGGGCTGGAATCGCGAAACTGCTTGGCAGGGCTGCGTGATGTGTGTGCTCCGATGGGTGTTTCCGCTGGACTTTTGGAGGAAGTCTCGTGCGAAACGTTCGTTTTGCAGACTTTGACATGTGAATTTTTGAGGAAGTCTCGTACGAAACGCTCGTTTTGGGGACTTGACATGTGACTTTTGGAGGAAGTCTCGTACGAAACGCTCGTTTTTGAGACTTGACGTGTGACTTTTGGGGGAAGTCTCGTACGAAACGCTCGTTTTTGAGACTTGACGCGTGACTTTTGGAGGAAGTCTCGTACGAAACGCTCGTCTTGCAGCCTCGCAGCGTGACTTTTGGAGGAAGTCTCGTACGAAGAGTTTGCCCTACAGGAATGTCCCACAAGAGTGTCCTACAAGAGTGTCCCACAAGAGTGTCCTACAAGAGTATCCCACAAGAGTTTCCTACAAGAGTGTCCCACAAGAGTCTCCTACAAGAGTGTCCCACAAGAGTGTCCCACAAGAGTGTCCCACCACAAGAGTGTCCCACGAGAGTGTCCCACAAGAGTGTCCTGCAAGACTGTCCCACAAGAGTGTCCCACAAGAGTGCCCCAAATGAGTGTCCCACAGGAGTGTCCCACAAGAGTGTCCCGCAACAGTGTCCCGCAAGAGTGTCTCACAAGAGTGTCCCTTAAGAGTGTCCCACAAGAGTGTCCCGCAACAGTGTCCCACAAGAGTGTCCTACAGGAGTATCCCACAAGAGTGTCCTACAAGAGTGTCCCACAAGAGTTTCCTACTAGAGTGTCCCACAAGAGTGTCCCACAAGAGTGTCCCACAAGAGTGTCCCACAGGAGTGTCCCGTAAGAGTGTCCCACAAGAGTTTCCTACAAGAGTGACCCACAAGAGTGTCCCACAAGAGTGTCCTACAAGAGTCTCATTTGGACATATGTAGCTTTTTGAAGGTGTTTGCATTCGGGTTCGTGGGCTCCATCTTGTTTTATACGACTGGATCTTCCAATTTAAGAAAAAATGGTGCCTTCTGGCTGGTTTTTATTGATGAAAAGGCAGACATGGTTGGAAGATCCCGGTGTACCCTCCCTCCAACCACGCACGACCGAAAAAAGACTGACTTCCAAATCTCAACGTCAGGAGCAAATTTCAGCTTTGAACGCTTTCTTGCTGTCCAGGCGCAGCCTTGGCCTTCTCTTCCTCAGAAAGGTTGGTGCACCACGCAGGAACTACCTTGGTATCCACCGTCAGCTCCACCTTTGTCTCAAGAGCAGAGACATCACAGCAGCCCAAATAGGTGCCATCGGCTGCCGGGCAGCAAACGCCTTCGAGCTTTAGGTCCTCGTTGAAGGAACTTCTGACGTCTGCGACACAGGAGAAACCCGGAACTCAGAACAAGGAATGGGTGTGTATTTTAATAGGGAGACCCAACCGATGAGTTTTGGGTCTATTTTCCAGGAGGTTGTTGCCTAGGAGGTCCCCCTGTTTCACACCCAAATCAAATGCAGACATCCACCTAAAGCGGATATGGGAGTGTCCTGGCAGCCTTTGTGCGCGGAACAAGAAGCGGTGGCGCCGCCGCCACCGCCACCTGCTGCCGTGGCGGTGGCGGCTGGCGCGACCGCTGGAGCTGCCACTGGGGCGGCGACCGCAGGCGCTGGCACAACTGCAGCTGCAGGGGCAGGGGCTGGAACGCAGCCACAGCAAGAGTATGAGTAGGACTGCCAAGTCCCAGCTGGAAAAGGTCCCCAACTGCCACACACAGTTGGACCCATACAAATGCAACTTCCTGCTCCACCATTGCATGCCGCGATCGAGGCTCTGCTGTACTCCTCAGTGAAATATTCATAAAATTGCCAAACTTGTATTAGCCATATGTGCTTTTCATCTGTGCTTAGTCATCGAGCGAAGAGAGAGACTGAGCTCAGCTACGGGGACGGTGTAGCACCAGTAGGGTGCATAGAACTCCTCAGTCTTCCGGTCCAGCTTTCCAACCTGAAGATCCAAGAGCTTAAAGTTGGATGACTGCAGGGGGAACCAAGGAGATGGGCAAAGGTTCATGCAGCAGGAATAGATCAATAATGACCAGGACTCCCAAAACATGGTTAATCGACACACCTTACCTTGAATTGTAAGGGGCTATTCATGGACACCCTTTCCGTGGTGCTGGGACATAATAGATCTATCTATCTATCTATCTATCTATCTATCTATATATATATATATGTATATATATTTTATGAAAATGGATGCGTGTTGGGAGAACACTCAAGTTCTTCCGTCCAAAGGTTGCTTCCTGCTCTGGTTTCAACACGCGGTCGACGGTGGAATCCTGGCTGCGATTCAATGCGGGCCGAGTTACAAACATCGAAGTCTGAAGCAGCTCCATCTTCACCTCCTCACAGGAACAATCCCGTCACTCCGGTCCCGCTGCGCCGGAAACGGTGCCGGTCGGGCTGCGGAGAGCACCCAGCCACACAGGGCACTGAGCTGGGTGGATCCGAATGTGAATAGGCATTGTGCTCTTTAGGCGATGGGCTCCAACCTACTTGCGATGGCCTCCAACCTAAGAGCTATGGCCTCCACCCAGTGCCAAAGAAAGGAATCGGAGTAAAGTGAAGGACCCAAGTGATCCTGGTGGATCAGTTGCAGTGGACCTCCAGGTCTGAGCTCAGGTCCTGTAAAGCGTCGGACTAGTAGGGAGTGCTTGGACTCTATGCCTCTCCTTCTTCGGCTGCAAAAAGAAGGCCCCAAAATCCCAGCCGTTCCTTCTTCCGTCACCAGATCTGCCCTGGAAAGCAGTAAAGCCCTCGGAAGTCAGAATTGCTTGCATCCAAGGCTCTGCTAGCTCTTGCTGCTCCAGGTTCTCCACTGCAGCATTCGTGCACGAATTGTCTTCGCACGTCTCACCTGAAGAGGACACCAGCTGAATCTGGGAGTGGCGCACCACATCTGATCATCTGAGGAGCAGACTGCTCCAAGCCACCAAAATGTATGAAAAGGCAATCGCCACCCTCGCAAGTGAAGTCATGTCAGAACCTCAGTGACAGTTTGACTTCCCCGCAAACCTGGCCCAAACCTCGGAAAAGAAAAAGAAACTAAGCCCAGCTCCTAAGATGCCACCTCACAGTGTTCGTTCAGGGTTTTTCGAGCACTGCAAATGGCTGAGCGAGCAGGTGGCAGTGCTTTGTCCATGCCAGCGCTCTGATCCCAACAAGAACCGGTTTCATCGAACCAAAAGACGCAGAGAAACGAATCAAAAAGACTCCTGTCATCCTCTGGGGGGAAAAACCTCTCCCTTCGTTTCTTCGGCTCCCACCCCATAGAGCCGCCGCAGCGTCGCAAGTCCAATCCGCCTAAAGCGGCACCCCCGAAAGCGCGGGGGCGCAAGGGCTGATGTGCGACCTAGATCGTCGACCTAGAAGTGGACCTAGAAGTGGACTCCGAGGCTGCAAGCTGAGATGTGGCCTGTAGCTGGGGGAAATCCTTCCTAGGCGTTGCACCTTCGAACCTGAGAGATGTATGGACGCGAACGCGCGTCACCGATCGCCACAACCGATTTTGGAGTCAAATAGGACTCTCAAGGTAGGTCTTTAGGATCTTTAGGGCCAGGAATGGCCGTCCGAGTTCTGTGTTCCTTGTCCCACCTTCACGCCGAGTTCTGTGTGACTCGTGTGACACTGTGTTCTCTTTCTTTCTACACAGGGTCTGATGCCCACGCGTTCGACACAAGCATGTAGCGTTTAGTTGAACCCCGTTGAAGGTCTGTGCCTCCCATCGCCCGATCTCTTCTTCGACCTCGGAGGGCGAAGAAGAGCGGAACGGGAACAGAACAGCATCTTTGTATTCTGGAATATCTTCTAAATCTATTAGAAGATGGCCTCCAACCTAATAGAGATGGCCTCCAACCTAGGTGACCCCGTGCATCTTGAACACCAATCCTATGGGAGATCTCTAGACCCTCGAGTTGGGTCGACCATCCTGAATCTGCAAACAAGAGCTGCAAGTGTATAGAGGTGCTGCCAAAGTGTCTACACACATAGTCTAGTTAGTAGTTGCACATTTAAAAATGAAATAACAAGTAGAGAAGCCTACAGTACAAACCACTCTGAGGTAGTCGCTGCACATGTAGAATCTGATGCCGAGCAAAGGCATCTTGAAAAGCCTGGTTCATCAAAGTGTGACAAACCCAAAGTGAACCCCTTTTCATCCTTTTCTCCAAAGTCGCCGCTGCCTCCAAGGTCACATTTGAGGCCGACAAACACGGTACGATATTCTTGGGACCTTTGCCCATGCCCTTTGAGAAGACACTAGTCTGCCTTAGTGTTGTGAATCAAGTGACAGCCCACCCATGACAGCCCACGTCGTGTGCCATGACTTGACTGCGACCTTAGCCGTAGCCTACCAGCAATTCAAGCCATGTTGGAGCATCTTGAGCCAGCCAGGAATACAGGCCGTGACCACCATGACCAGGCATCAAAGAACAATTTCTAGAATGTGCAGGAAGCTCATATCAGCAAATGAGGCGTCTTTCTTGAAAGGTGCTCGCAGCTCTGCACAGAATCCAAATAATCAAGGCAAGTGTTGGCAAGCAGCCATCAGCTCAAAATGGCTTGGTGTGGCCTAGTTCCTCCGATTCCAACACATGATACAAGCTCATGCATCCTGCTGCAAGGATTTCACAGTCTGCTTCTCATGTTTCAAAAGCATGAAGGATCAAGGAGCTGGCATTGAGCAGTGGCTCTTCCCAAAGACTGGAAGCTTCGCTCAGCCACACGCATACTTGGTGAAGGCTAAGCTGGAAGCGCTCGGGCCGTGCTCAGACAATTAGGAGAAGGGGTTGCGGAACTTCTCCCCAGCATATGTTGCCTAGCGAGATCAGAGGCCGGACGCAAACAGTCCAAACGACCAGGCTATCAAAGCCATGCCCGAACTTCTTTGGAGAACCCAGACTTCTGACCTCTGTTTTTGCTCGAAAAAAGGAAGGTCGCCCCAAAAAGATCTGTTCCTGCTGCTCTTGGACCATGTTTTTCAGCCAGATGAAGCCCTGCCTTGGTGCCGAGCTCTTCCTCAATCCGAAGGAGCCTCAATCCGCCAAACCGATCAGAAACATGAAATGGAATCCTATGGGCCTTCCTTGGAAATCCAAGGTCGCAGCTGATTGTACTTCGCCAAACGCTCGCTACGGCAGGGTGCGCCAGTCTTGATCTGACCTTGAGGTTCCCGGAGTCCGAGTCCAAGATTCATGCACATTCATGAGTTACAGAGTTGGAGGCCATCGCTCTTAGGTTGGAGGCCATCGCTCTTGGGTTGGAGGCCATTGCCATTTAGTAACTCAGAGGTTTACAGAGTTGAAGATTCATGTACATTCCCTGGAACAATCATGGTTACGTGGATGGCGGCCCGAGACATGACCATGTGTCTTCCTCAGATCCACCAAACATCAGGTGGCGTTGATGAGTCAAACCCACCAGGCGACCGAGACCGCTCGACCGAGCCGAGCTACGCGCGGAACCGCGCGTGAACCGCGCGGGTGTTCACCAAATGCAACAGGAATCAAGGACAGAAAAGGCTGTTTCAGCCTCCCATGAAAGAGCCTCCCATCCAGTCACCCGCCAATCCGGGTCATCTCAGTTCACCAAGCTCAGTGTTTGATGAATCAAATTGCCATATTGGTCATATTGGAAGAACCGTTCGATTCTGGTTGTTGGGGTTTCCAGCTTATAGTTTAGACTCGTACCACCATCACCCGCCTGTGCGAAGGCCTACCACAAGATCGGCAATGAAAGAGTCCTCCAGTGCCATGAGAGCTAAAAGTGGATGGCGAACCAACACTGGCTGGGATGGATTTTCGATTGCTTCTTTTCGATTGCTTTGCTGATTGGAAGCGCTCTCTGACGTTCTACGCCTTTCGACGCCAAGCTGATTTTTCAGAAGGACCACGTGGGAGTGGCATTGAGTCCCATCCAGTGAGTGGATCAGTTCAGGCACCCCTACCCTCCTAGAGTGGTTTCTCTAACACATGTTAACACCTCTTCATACAACTCCTGCTCCATGTCAATTCTCAACCCTTTTCAACATACCTTTCAGTCCCAAAACGTGAACACCAGAAGACCCACCCGGTCGACCCTACAGCCCCTTCGACCCAAACAAGCGCAAAACAGGCGGACACCGCCCGTAACAAGCGGAGCGCGTCCTCCGTCTCTCCCGAGCGATGGGAGACCATGACTCCCCAGCCATTCTGCATCGACCTCGAGGACAAGCCAAGTAGCTTGGAGGCCATGGCTATGTAGGTTCCTTTTGCTAGGTTGGAGGCCGCTCTTAGCTTGGAGGCCAAAGTAAAAGTGTCTGGCATGAAGGCCATCAGCACCCATCACAGAGAGTCTTCGCTTCCATCGACGATGGCTGGCGCGTAACGCAAACCGGGGTGCCCGGGCATGTTGGCCGCATCAATGGCCTCTGTGATGGATCCAATTTGATTCACCTGCGCAGCACAGAGCTAGAGGCAAAAGCAGCACAGAAACAGCGCTCACACAGAGCTGGAGGTCCAGTCCAACTCAGCCTTCAGGAGCAAAGCATTGCATGCCTCAGAAGTGTGATTAAGCATCCCATCATCCCATCAACATGGGTGACAAACAGATGGCTGGTCCGATGCTCTCGCTGAGGCCAAATCTCCAACGTCCAAAGCTTTTTCAATACGCTTTGTGTTGGTGACCAGCCTTGGTTCCAGGAAGCACAGCAGCGGCAAGCAACAAGGAGAATTGATCCTTTGAGAATACACATGTGTATGATATATATTTATATATATAACTATTCATCTTCAATGCACGGACCTTTTTCAACCATCCTCTTTGA